TTGCCATCTCTAACTGAAAGGTGTACAATTGATTAATTATATTTTCTTCAATATTCTTGCTGGAATCCTTTAGAGTTTATTCTTTTTTCTTTAGAAAGAATTGAAACCTTTTGCGTCTCTATTATAAGGAGGCCATTCGGCAGGCCATTCGGCAGTTTCGACGTCATATTAGTAAACGCACGCCTCGTTACCAATAATGATGGTACGTTTCATTAATGTAGGGCATTCAGCTACAGGTTTTTTGGTACGGTCTAGCAGTGATACGCTTCATACCCGAATAATAATTTTAGCAAGAATGTGTTGTGTCCATCTATAAGAGATGTTGAACAAAATTTGAATCAGACTTAGTTTAATTTCTTTTCCATAGTAAAAATCGCCAGACACACTTCTCGCGTCGTAAACAAACACACGAACCAAAAAATTGTTGTACCAATCGGAAAAAAGTTTTATCATTTCGGTTTGATAGCTTAGTTTGAATGAACCAGTCCGAGTAAATTTTGATCAGATCGTATACAAATACCAAATAAATTTCTTGAATTCAAGTCCTGTATCCGATAGAGATAGTAGTCTATAACATAACCATATTGTAGAGAGTTTGGTTGAGTTACTTGGCATGCCTCAGAGTACTGGAACTGGAACCTGACTTGCTCATGGCATACATTTCTTCTTATTTACACTTGCCGTCTTAAGCAACAGGAAGTTTTCTCGACAGGTTCAATTTCTACCTAAGTAATTATTTACTCCAAAATTTCTTATTTACGCATATGTTTGGAAGAATTGCTATTCGTATTAGACAACTAAATGAAGTCTATATCACTGAGTTCTATAACGAGTTTATGCAACATTTTCCGAAGTCTAGTTCATCTCTTTGCATATAGAGATCAAAATCGCATAAAATGACAAAAATTTCTGTTTACTGCAACTTTTATTACTTCCGTGAAATCAGCTACAAACAATCTCAACCCACTGGCAATAATCATTTCATAGCCGGTATATCACGCATAACGGCATTGTGGTTTAGGTGTGATTATTATTGTTACCGACAATGCAGAGGTTGGCCACAACTAATTAAATTACCAGCTCAAGCTCATACTGATACCATAATTGCTTCAAAATTGTAATTTAATTTATTTCATCGCTCGTAAATATGCAATCTAAATGCAGGAATTCAGTTATGTGACACATGTAGGCAGGCAGTTAAGCTATAAGTTTGTGCACCCACGGCAGGGTGTCTTGGTCAACACCCATAAACGGTGATAGGTGACATTAATTTGTTGCTATATGTCAACATACATTTCAATTGGGTGCAATGAGTGAACATGTATTATAGAGAATAATTCATACGATGAGATTGTCACACCTACAAAAATGTCCAGATGCAGTCAGAGATAATGGTAATTACATAGGTTGATGTCGTGGACTCCAAGAAATAGAGACATACATAATATATGCGTGATTCTGGTGGCGATAAATCAATCAAAATTATATAATCCGAACTGCTAGGAGTATTTAGCAAATGTAAGCGTTTATATATAATTCAATTATATACATATACATATGTATATGTACCTGTAGTACCTACTGATAATCATATACTTAGAGCACTAATTAAAAACCATTTTATTTACATTAAAGATAAAAGGAATTTGCATTTTCGCGTTCTAATAGAGAAAGCTACGAGCTTTGTCACGAATTACCATACCGTCACAGACCCACCCATTGACACAGCTCCTAATTATTGCCAAGGGAAGAAAACTCGACATAACTGTGATAAGTTTGTCTAGAAACATCAACGTGAATATTTCATATCTAATATTCACACACATGGAGCTCTTAATAAACGTAAAATTATTTGCAAAATACTTTAGAGAATTGCGCCAGAATTCTTTGTTGCTTGGCAACTGTTGCTGCTGTAGCCTCCAAATATCGCCAGAGGCGCTAAAACATGCGGCGCGCGCTTTACACACTTCTAGGCGGAACAAGCTTCAATTTAACGGGTCACAGCTGCCTAACCTATTGTGCGCCTGCCATGGTCATTATCTGACTGGCGCTGAATTATTACTTTTGTTTTCACTGGTGACTTGGGGCCGTAAAATTTTTTATTACAATTTGTCGGTTTGTCAATTATTTTCGCGCATGTGTTTGGCGGTTACACGGTTTCTTACATAAGAATGAACGCATTAACATGCAAGTAGCTTTTTTTTCTTTTTATTCCAGCGGAGAACATGTTTTTTAGGCAACTACTCGACATGCGACTCATTCACTTGTTGGTTGCATTTTTCGTTCTGGTTTCGCGTTTTGAACTGATTTGCTTAATTTTTTGTCTTTTTGTAAACAGTTCATTACGATGCCTGGCTGGCCATTTCAATCAGATTTTATGTGAATTAATTGCACTACAATACTTGAACACCTTCAGTTAGCTGCTTGGTTAATGCATTTTGTCGCCAATCATACCAACATCTGTGAGAAAACGTGCCGATTGTGTTGAGAAGATATCAAATTAATTAAGGCTTAACTATTGTTATTATTGACATATCAGATATTGCTATTATACTTATACATTACTGATTGAGCTGCTGATCAAAGCTGACGGGGATCGTAATAGACTTACAAAAGAAATACAAAAGAAATCTTTGTCCTAAAATGGGTTGAATCGGATAAATAATTCTCTTAGCCCCCATATACCTTATAGAAAGAACTTTAGGTTATCTTTATACCTCATACGTATTTCTAATAACGGTGCCTAAAACGAACAAAATTGGGTTTAAACTTGCCCTACACCTACATATATAACTGATATTAGGATTTTGAAACATTTTGTTGCCATTATTCCTTATATATTGGTGATGGTATGTGAGGAACCTTACTGAGATTTAGAGAACATTTTTAAAATAAAGTTTTGCCTACATCTGAAGGCTCATCAATTCAAGTTGAAAGAGTATAAAATGTTCGGTTACACCCGAATATAGCCCTTCCTTATATGTTTATACTCTCGCAACCTGTTGCTACAGAGAATAATAGTTTTGTTCACCTAACGGTTGTTTGTATCACCTAAAATTAATCGAGTTAGATATAGGATTATATATATATAAATGATCAGGATGAAGAGACGAGTTGAAATCCGGGTGACTGTCTGTCCGTCCGTCCGTCTGTCCGTCCGTCCGTGCAAGCTCTAACTTGAGTAAAAATTGAGATATCTTTATGAAACTTGGTAGACATGTTTCATGGTACCGTGAGACGGTTGGTATTGCAGATGGGCGTAATCGGACCACTGCCACGCCCACAAAACGCTATTAATCAAAAACAAATAACTTGCCATAACTAAGCTCCGCAATAAGATACAAGACTGTTATTTGGTACACAGGATCACATTAGGGAGTGGCATCTGCAGTTAAAATTTTTTTTTAAAAAGTGGGCGTGGTCCCGCCTCTAATAGGTTTAATGTGCATATCTCCTAAACCGCTAATGCTATAATAACAAAATTCACTGAAAGCAAATGTTTTTAGCACTTCTATTGACGGTGTGAAAATAGTTGAAATCGGGTGGCAACTCCGCCCACTCCCCATATAACGGTACTGTTAAAAACTACTAAAAGCGCGATAAATCAAGCACTAAACACGCCAGAGACATTAAATTTTATCTCTGAGATGGTATAAGATGACTTTATAGGAACCGCGTTCAAAATTAGACAGTGGGCGTGGCACAGCCCACTTTTAGGTGAAAACCCATATCTTGAGATCTGCTTAACCGATTTCAACCAAATTCGGTGCGTAACGTTCTTTTCATGTTTCTATGTCATAGTGCGAAAATGGGCGAAATCAGACTACAACCACGCCTACTTCCCATGAAACACCATTTTCAATTCCATCTGATTCTTTCACTTTCCACTATGCATATCAAGCAACAATGATTATATCGGGGTAAAACTTTGCGTGAATAATACGTTTAAAGTATGCCACCTTGTGACCAAAAATTGTCTAAATCGAACCAAAACTGTTCAAGCCCCTAAGTACTAAATATGTGGACCCCAGTGCCTATAGTTGACCTTCTACCGAAAATATCAGTCAATCCACAAAGAAATCTCAAACGAGTATACCATTTGACTTTGCGAGAGTATAAAATGTTCGGTTACATCCGAACTTAGCCCTTCCTTACTTGTTTAATTTTAAATATGTGCCTAATAGAATTTAGTAATTCCCTTTACCTCACTCTTTTCTTCTATCGGGTACATGAAAAAAAATAGACCTGTGAAACAGAAATCATTTTGGTAAGGATGTGTGATATGTGACAAACAAGAAAACATGTCCATTCAGTTTCATTAAAATATGAAATATATTGACCGATATACCTATTAGTCTAGAATGTTTACACGCAATTATGCTAAAAGAGCATACACATTGAGATATATTCGGTATAAAGCGTATCGGAATTTCGAAATTCTCTTATTAAGTACATGGCAGCTAGGCTAAGTGTTGAGCCGAGTTTATCCAATTTTGGCATCACGACACTCTGTTACCAGGAAAATACGGTTTCTGAATTTCATTAAGATGTCTCACACACTGATCAATATACTAATATATGGTATATATACCTCGTAGATTGTAGTAGTAAATGTCAGAAATAGGCACTGAAATCTATATATTCGGTATCTGAATGCTTGAAAAGTTATGGTTCGGTTTCGACCATTTTTTGATATGTGATAGCATAAATTGAATATGTAGACTATGCGTTTTTAATGGTGCTTGAATTATATAATACACTAGAATTTCGTTAGGTAGATTAGATTGTTCAGATCCAACCACTATAGGATATTCACACATTCACACTGACTGTGTAGATTCTATTATTCTATTATTATTGGTCTTACTCTAAACTGCTGCAACACATACTCTTAAGACTTTCTGTATCTTCTTCTTAGATTGATCGTTGAAACAAATACTACTGCTGTCTCACATCGATTCATAATCTTTAATACAAACTCTTTAGCCTTCTGTATCTTTTAAGTTTATTGAGTATATTTTGTTTTGTTGCTTCGTTTCGATATCTTAACAAATGATTTTAATTCAAATGGAACTTCAAATGTTATTTTATAGAAATTAAAACACAGTCCATTTCGCAACTGCGATAAGAGAGTAATGTGAGAATATTATGGATCAAATAGTACTTAACATCCTTTGGCTTTTAGACAATACTATTATATGGGAGGTGGATGAGGTTCCTCGAAAATATTTCAAGACGTATTCATTAGGCCTTTTAATTTATATATATATATTTTTTTTTTAAATATAGAACTATATTTACGAACAACACCGTTTCGTTGCTCGACCCATTCTGTACATTTGTGCTATTAAATTTAGTAATAATAACACACACTTTCCACACATTCTACAATATGTATACTATATTCGTTTAGCGTTTGTCGTCAATATGATTATTCCAATATGTTCCAATAAACGCAATATCCACCAGCTTGCTAGAGGCCACAAACATAAAATTTCGAAAAACATATTTTTAAAATAATTTTATTTTCTATAATAACAAAAAATGAACATAATCTCGATATTAAAAATTACAACAATTTAATTATTCTTAAAATTACAAATATAGTCTAGCATTTGTGTTCTGATAAAATGTTCAGATATCGTTTATACCAAAATTACAAAATGAAAAAATTAAATAATTTTTGAATAAAATGCTGATGTATTTTTTTCACTACAAAACAAAAGTAAATAAAATACATACATATATACTTACATACTTGCAAGTAATATAGAGCAAAGCGCAATGTAACATAATGTGTTTTTTAAATTACCTGTTTAAACCTATTTTTGTTATTTGAATGAATGGATGAGAATGGATGAGAATGAAATGAAAAAGTAAAAAGTTAATGAGTTTTTCATAATTTAAAATTTTAAAAAAGAATGCTGTTTTTAATCTTTTCTTTTTTTGCAATTAAGTGTAAACATATGTAAATAGATCAAAAATGAGTGAAATTCCAAACAAAAATATTTTAAATGTATGTTGTGGTTGCATTTCTATGTAAGAAAATCTTTCGAAAAAACATGAAAAATTTAGATAAATAAGGTTAAATGAGAGGTTAAAATTTCCACTCTTGATGTTGTGCTTTGAACTATTCTTAATAAAAAATAGAAATAATTAGTTATGAAAATGAGTAGTTATAGAAAAATAAACTAATTTCTTGGTATTGTTGTAAACGGAGCTTATTTCCGTATTATTGCTTTAAAATTAGGAGCAATAAACGTATGAAATACATATTATGTAACTATATTTGAGCTCGGACATACTGAAAAGGTTTCAAGTAATATAAAATACAAAGCAAAGTGAAAGTTTGATAAATACATTTTCGGCAGTGATTAAGTTTCATCAAATGATTAGTCCTAAGCTAAGGCATGAGCCTACACTAAGTGGTTTCAAATTAGAAACTTTGTTTTTTACTACCAGCATCCAACTTTATATGCGCACTCCATTTCTAACCGTTATCAAAAATTAATATGAAACTATTTTGTACAGTGAATGTTATGAAAGGAGAGAAAATAATGATTACGATAACCTCTACACTCCCAATAACGATTTCACGCTGAACAGCATGTATACTGCCAACGTTTCTTTCCTGCTTTCTTAGTTTTTGTTTAACTGTATTGCCATCTTTCACTTACTTTATAAATAATGTCATATACTACAATTTGCTTAACCGCCCCTACCACTAACAGCTTAACTTAATGCCAAGAGCGGCTCATAGTCCATATCTTTGGGACTCGTCTTCTTCTTATACTTCTTTTGCAATTTCGTTTTAGAAAGCTTCGATTTGGATTTACTCGCTCGCCGCTTCTTTTCTTCCTGCTCCTCTTGCTCTTTCTCAAGATCAAGCAGTTCTAATTGCTCAAAGATGTTCTTCGGACGTGGATGTATACTTGTTTTGGTTGAATTTTTCGCCGCATAAACAACAACAAATTGCGAAAACGCTGAATCTGCCGGTGTATTTATATCGGCAAAGTCACGGAAATCGGCAAATTGCTCTTCGGGATAAGTATACTTCTGCACGAACTCCTCGTTCGAGGGGCGTCCATGTCCATTCGCGTCACCGTAGTATTGATTGAAATCGCTATTATCGTCGGTGTGATAAGTCATTTCCTCTTCGGGGTAGAAAGTGCCGCCGCGTAGCACTCCAAAATCTCCGGAACCTAAAATAGTGGGATCAAAGCTGCGTTGTGTTGGTCCTAGTGGCACTTGTTCGGGATGTGGCGCTGCAAATTTCGGTATCACTGGACTATCGGGTATAGGAAAGTAGGGGCGTGAATGACCCAGTGGTGGCGCCTCACGGAAGAAAGGTGGATAATAGTTTTGTGCAGCTTGTGTGTGTGAGTCAACAGGCGTTGGCTGTGGTACGTTGGCGTGAACATCAGAACGTGCCACAATATGAGGATTGGGTGGTAATGGACGGAATTGGTAGGTGGGTGGCACGTGGAATTGTTGTTCCTGTGAACGTAAAACGGTAACTGGGGTGAAGTCATTTGGCTCCATTAACATATCGGCATCTTCTTTTGGGAATTCAGCTGTAAGAGAAAAAAGAGAAAATCATATGTTGAGTAAATGTTGAAAATGTACATAAAACACTGTGAAAGAATTTAAATAAATGAGTTTTACAAATGATTTAGTGTTATTTATACTAATATTATACAGGGGAAGGTTGCTTGTTTGAATCGAATAGGCTCCGAAACTTCTTGACGGATTTGAAAAATTCTTTCATCATTGGGAAGCTACACTATCTCCGGTGAATATAGGCAATATTATATTTTCCAAAAAGTTAGGGATCCTAGCTTAAACGGCAATAATATAACTCAAGGTGTAAAAAATTACCAAAAAATTATTATTATTAAATGGAGTGATTTTCTTGTATTATATAAAACTACTTATATGAAATTATCTAGTCTTAGCCACTTTACAAAAATATTTGCTTCATGAGAAGTCCGATTTGTGGATTTATCGCTTCTGGCACACCGCATCATCCATTCCTCTCAATTTTGGAATCGGAAAACTTTCACCACTTGTTTTCATTTATCTTCTTATGCTTTTGTTTAACACTTTGACTTCGTTTAAAATGAATTAATTTATATAAATGTCAGCTCGAAGCCGACAGCGACCGATCTACAGACATTTCTTCTGCCGATATGGCTGCAAAGCATTGTCATTGAACCGCAATAAATATTAATAAAACGGCAACGGTAGTTTATGTACAAAATGTAAAACACTCAAATTAAAAAGAAAAAACTCGTCAACTCAAAAACCTGTATTGATAATATCCAGCGAGAGATTGTTGACAAAAGCCATGCATTGACCGAGCAATACGGTGAAAGCGTTGCAACGACCAAAAGGCTGCGGCAACCCACATACTATGGTTTATGGCAATTAAAAGTCACCGGTAGATCGCTGTCAGCTGGAATTTTGCACAAAACTTGATCTTTCAGTTGCAAGTTACGAACGTTGCGAACATTTTGCGCTTTTCCTCGTTTTTATTGCACGAGCGAGCAAGCAATCAGTAGCGCGTATATTTGTTGTATAAATTGATGCATTACATGTTCAGAGTAGTTCATGTTAAATCGTCTTTTTCTTATTTTTAGTGTCCCCAAGACAAGATCGTGGTCAAGTGGCATGTTTAAATTGCACACAATAAGCGCCCGCCCTCAGTGGAATAATGATATTGTACTTTTTAGCGTTATGTTAAGAAATCAGAAATCTTGTTATAAAAACCTTTTCGTATTTAATTTTCAAATGATTTTGAAGTTCGATGATCGGACCTAACGGTTAATAGATGATTCACTAAAATTATTATCACTTCATTTGACATTAAGTAAAAATTAACCTTAGGTAACGAAATTTGATATCCTAAAGTAGCTATCTAGTTACAATATCTCAAAATTATTTGCAGCTGCCTTTTCTTACATACTTATAAAAAACGAAATAATTTCTGGCCATATGTTTTCGTATTTTAAATCAAGCATATCACGATCAAAGTGCGCAAACAAAATGTTCAGGCTTTTCTAGGTAACCCGAGAAAGTATATCGTTTCAGATATTTGAAGTTTTCTCAGACTAATAGGACCACTTAACTGAAACAATGAGATGGGGAAAGAGATGATGATTTAAAAGTAAATTAGTTTGTCTTGAAAGTTACAGCCATCGCATTACGTCTCTACCGAGTAAAACAATTATTTGCTCATTTGCAAAAAGCAGCTCAGTGCCATCAATGCACACTAATTAATAAATCATGTCACACATAATTAAATACTTAAGTGTATCAATTTTGAAGCTGCGTTAAAAACGAAATTTTTACTCACTGTTGTTTTGTGTTATTTCGTGACGTGTTCATTTTGTAAAAACTTTAGCACACTTAACGAATTTGGACAGTGGCGGATTCAATCGTAACAGTACTCCGCCTTAACTTCACCTTTTCGAATTAAAACTGAATTTTCTATTCAAATTAGTATTTGTATGTATTGCAATCACATTCTTAGGGCTAACGTTCGATAAATTGGTTTGCCCCTAACTAAATATCGTTCCACAAATCCCTTAATTTGATATATTATAACTGGTAAGTGTTTTATTAAGTTTTTATTAGTTTTGCTAATTCAGATCCAATCTAGATTTACTATGGCTCTGTACAAGATACTTTTGTTTAGAGTATTTTTATGAATTCTTCAAATAAATTTAAGTCAACGATGTTTTAATGGAAAGGCTGGCAAATTTTATGTGATGCGTTTTCATGTCAAAAAAATCATGCAAACCAGCCGATAACTAAAGTCATTCAAACTGTGCAATGCGGCATAGATATTTCCACCATAGCACTAGCACTCGACGCTCATAAATCCGCCACTGGTTGTTGGCGATGAAAAGCGAGAAACTTAAAGTTAATGTTGCTAAAAAGTGCCGACAGCAACAATTAAATCTGACCCATATTTGTAACAGTAATTTCGGTATAAATGAAAGCATACGTTAGCATGGTTTGGAGCTCATCTTCCACAGCGCGTCGCAGCAATAATAATAAAAAATTGTTGCGCGCTTGCGTTAATGCCAAAGGAAAAGTGGAGTAATGCGATAATAATAATCATGACAAACGCAACCAAACGCGGTTGTTTGGTAAAAACAAACCAAATTGAGGAATGTTGCCAAAAAAGTTATACCACAATTAATCAATCACAAAACTAATATTTGTATATTTAATCTTACTGTGTCTGACTTGTAAGAAAATTCGGAATATTCAGGTAAAAAATTAGTAAATGGGTAGTAATATGCCTTGCTCTCATTAATATAGAATGCTATTCCTATTTTGTGCGAATTCCATATCTATTTTATTCCCTTCAAAAATAAAGTAAGGGAACTATGCACTTGTAAGTGCGTTATGATGAAAATGTCCTCCACAGAAACGGAGATAGGAGTTTATTGGTGGCATCCAATTTTCTAGGACATTTTCACAAAAAATTAGTTCGAATAACGGCATGTATCCCGAATTTTAGTTTATTTTATGTTTGAACCTAATTCCAGAGAATAAAATTTAAGGATGTAAGATCACACTAAAAAAATGGCTAGTAAAGCTATCTCATCAAATTTGCTTTTAATTAAAAGTTATAGTCATGTCGGTATTAATGATAAAATAGAACATATTGCTGAAATCGCTTATTCGTTAGAACCTTTCTTCAAATATGATGAAAAAAGGAATCCGTCAATATCTGGCTATACTGCTCTCTACTCTGACTCACACTCTACAGCTATCTCCTTTTAGAAACCATAAGGCTCAACAACTCCTCGAAAATGTGAAGTACCTAGACCGAATTGCCAGTCACTCTGAATGTAAAGGTTGCTTTTTGATTAAAATTGTGAACTAGCGTCACTTTGAACATTGTGGACATCACTAGTATAAAGCGAATATGGGTGGTTTCAAACTGTTTTTTTAAGTTATTAGAGAGCTTGAAGGAAGCTTGTAGTTGTAAATATATTTAAGAAGCAAGAAGATTGCAACCTAGACTAAGGATTCAACAAGAGTATCACCTTAAAGAGGTTTCAAAAGCCCTATAGCGAAGGAGAAAATTGTGGTGGTGTCATTTGTTCCATGAAAATACTGCAACAACACAAACAGTTTTAAAGAGCTTAAAAATGCTCGCAGTTGAAAATACGTAACATTGGGGATGACTGCCACCTGTTTAGAAACAGAAGGTTTTTGAAACTTTATTAATAACTTTTAAACATTGAAAAAGTTCGATTTTATGGGTTGTTTGCGAATTCTTGCACAGGAATCCAAGTTACAATTATTTTGCGGTCTTTGTGAATAAAGACCAATCGTGCGTGGCTAAACGTGAACACACCATATCTACAATTTTGTGTTCGCACTTTAGTTGCTAAATTGTTTGCATTTTCAGTTTTTATTATTTCTTTGATCTGTTTATTTAGTGAGCTGTCAGAGCGGCGCGTGGGCTTATAAATACTTGAGCGCGCGGCATTTATAATATAACATCAAAGAAACTTCATTCCATAATAATAACAAAAGCAATGAACTCTGTAAGTTTATAAACAGCACAACCCAGTTGGGAGTCAATTCTAAAAAGGTTAGTGAAATCATTTAACACTTCGTAAAATACTTAAGTATACAATGTATATTTTCAAGTGGTGAACAAAAGACTAAAGATAAATATTTTTTTATAAGCTATACAGATTGCCGTAAGTTGTATTGAGCACTGTGCAGTTTTGAGTATCGAGTTAGTATCGAAAACGGCAAGGAGTATCGAGGTATTTCAGTTATTTTACTCAACACTAATTTATCTTTTATCGAATTTTCTTTTAAGTAAACTGTAAAAATTTTGACGACTTTGACCCAAAAATAAAATTAAATCTAACATTTGCTGTGTTTGACCTAACCAGGACTTTGAAGACAAAGTGTAATAGATAATGAATAGATAATCTTTAAATAAATTTTAATTATTTCAATTAATTTAAGTATATGGCTAATGAAATCTTTGATTGAGTAAGTATTTTAATTTTCTTTCGTTTTGGGCAGAACTACACCAGAATATACGAAGAGAGAGATACTCATAATGGTTGTTACTGAGGTTGCGAATTTTTTATTTTAAAAATTTTGGATTAAAAGGTAGATTTCAATTTCTAATCCTTATATCGGAAATAAAACATGACGGCTTAATTTTTAATCCAAGATGTTTTCAAGATATTGAGATTTAAAATTATGTTTTAATTTTTATACTCTTGCAACATGTTGCTACAGAGTATAATAGTCAGTTGGATATAGGGTTATAGGTATATATTGTACATAAATGATCAGCATGACGAGACGAGTTGAAATCCGCGTTAGTGTGCGACCGTCCGTCTGTCTGGTTAAGCGTGTTCCTTGGCAAAAAGGTAAGGACGAGTTCGTAGATGGACGTAATAGAACCATTGCCACATCCACCAAACGGCATTAATCGAAAACATATAAAATGACATAACTACGCACTAAGTTTGATGTACGTATCTTCCAGACCATTCAAGCCATATCACCCAACTTTGCTTGG